ATTAGATGCCTATGTCCCAGTTTTGGTGCTATTGTAAGCCACAAAACTCCAATTTAGCTGCTACCTAAACTCAGTGCCTATATTTTCAGGGCAAAAGACCCCTACAGGCTGATGTTTCTGCCCCTGACCATGCATACTGTTGCCTCCCTCTAATAAATTGATTCTTTTCCCATGCAGCCACTTGGCAGTCTGCCTTCCCTGGCCAACAGACGCTCTGCATCCTTGCTTCTCTTACCATCTGGTCGTCTGCTGCACATGACCATGATTTCCTGGCTTCCTGACTAAGCTCAACCGCAAGTCTGCCACTCGTCTCCTGACTGTGACTTGGTAACTGAGCCGTGCACACAGGCAGCCCATGGACCAGCTCTGACAACTAGCCAGATAAAAATTCCTACATCCCCTTTCTGCCTTCATTGCTAATGCATTAGCTGCCCGCATTCACCGACATCCACACTACTCCAGCTGTGCTTTCTGTTCAGCCACAGTAAACTGATCCTTTCCCCATCCCAGTCAGCTGCCTGCCTGCCTTTCCACACCCAACAGATCCTCTGCCTCATCACTTCTGTGTGCTGCCCTTCTGTTCCCACTTCCCATATTAACACAGATGTTGTTATTGGAGTTGAGAATGGACTTTGCTCTTCTCCTCCTCTATTCAGATGTCCAGAAACACTCAGAATTGCAGTTCACCCTAGCTTACCTTTTCCACACCTCTCACATCCTTAGTCTCCTGATAAAAACTCCTATTCCTCACCTTGGTTAACCCATGGGAATCGTATGAACTTCTCCAACTTTTGAAAAGGCTGGAACCTGAGTTCAAAAATCTTTGTAAGAATCCCCATGGATTGATTGTCTTCTGTCTTCTGAGTACCTGAAAAAGGGATAGATGTATAATTAGACATGTATAGCCTGTTGTGTTTTAATGAACAAAAGGAAAGTAAGGTCACTTTACATGTAAACCTCAATAACACTGCTCTACAGCCAAAATGCTTCTGAAATAAATGTAGTCAAACTTTACTAATTCTGGGTCACTGAGAACGAAAATGATGTTTAAAATTGTTGATTGGCTCTAGTTTTCAAGATATGCTATTGGGTCAGTATATACGACCCTTGACTTGGGAATGGCGGAGGAAAAGTGAGTTATAAAGGGAAGGGATCTCAATTTAAACCAGAAATGACTAAAATACATCTTTGACTGGATCTATGAATAAATCTATGACTGGGTTTGGACAGTTCTTGCTTTTTAGGCAAAACAATGAATGATGCAGTCTGAAGCTGGTATTGCGTCATACATGATATGAATTGCATCATGTTATTCCTAGAAGTCATGGATGATGCAATGCAATCATAACGAAGCTTATATCACTCTGCTGAACGAATTGCCCTTGTAATTCTGTGAGCCTTCAGTGGACCAGGGACTAGATACTGCAGGAAACACTCCCTGCAGTGATTGATGTGCACCCATCTCTACCTCTACAGATAGAGCAAAGCCTGAGGGGGCTTGGAAGGCTGTGCTTTTGTTCCCAGAGGCTGATGGATACAGGAAGGCACAAACAAGACTTCCTTGTACTAAGGACAGGTGGGGCCTCATGCCTCACAGCTCTGGTACCCTTGGGGAATATCTTTTGCCTTCCCACAAACTGAAAAATTATTATATGACTATACACACACACTAGACATGTATAGCCTGGTGCCTTTTATGTCAAAAGAGGAATGTAGAGTCCACTTTGCATTTAAACATTATAGTAAATCATCACACACTGTACAGATTACAGAATTTAATGGTGGAGATGCCACAGACCTGTTTCTCCAGGTCAGTGTGGGTACAGACATAGTAGGATGCCAACAATTGCCATATTCCCAGGGGCACTGTACCACCTCAATCAGTTGCCATGTAGTCACAGAACATGTGAAAGTAACCACTATATCAGCTGTATTAGATTTTCTTCTCTCCTCTTCCTCATGGCCACCTCACTCAGCTCACTGACCTTTGTGTCTCGCCAATTGGTCTTCTCCATCTGCCAGCCCATGGAGGAAGGAAACAGTTCTCCCTTCTCCAGAGAAGCCCAGTAATTTGGCTGGACTGTAGGGAAGTTCTTAGTGTGCATGCACTGGGGGAATGAAAGCCTGGGACAGATGGGAAGGTGAGTGTGGGGTGAAGAAGGAGAAATGGGCAAGGGCATGATGCGGGAATTATTGGAAAGGAGAAGGAGAATTGTCAAGGCTGCATTAAACGTTGGCCTATTCTGTGTGCCTGACCTGAAGAACCTCCTTTTTTTTGGAGAAGCAGCAGGTCTGGGATGTGTGATGGTGAAGACACACCATAGCTGGCCTAAGACCTGGCAGGATGAAATGTTGCAGACCATGGGCCCTCCCTGTTCTTTTAAAAAACCTTGTCCCCAAATGCATCCTGAATTATTTGGTGTCTCAGGTAGATCTAATACCAATTAGTGTTTGAACTAAGGCACTCACAGCAACATCCTCCCGGTCTTTACTACCTAGCACAAGGTGCCCCGGATGTGTTTGGGACCAGTACACACAAACACTGAAAACACTATATAGAAATAGACTTCCACCGCAAAGTTCAGTTGGAAGTTATATGAAATGTCTGCTAAATAATGTACTATATTTGGAAAGAGGGACTGTGACTTCAAAAGAGTATGATGTCAGTTTTCAGTACAGAGTTTTCATCACTTTGATTAGATATCTAAGCAAAGTTAACACCCACTGTGTGTGTGTGTGGGAGGAAGTTAGGCTGATTGGGGGAAGCAGCCACAGGTGCGGCCATGGCCCAATCAGGCACCTGCTGGCCCTATAAGAGGGCTGAGGGCCAGAGGCTGAGACAGACACTCTCTTTAGCTTGAGAGAGAAGGACCTGGCTGCCTGGGAAGCTGAGCAGGGTACCTGAGGTGAAGCAGTGCTGGGGAAGGGCAGAGGGAGCTGGGGAGCTCCAGCCTAGCAGAACCCCAGGCTGCAGGTCAAGTTAAGGACCCACAAATGGTACTGGGGCTGTAGAGGGGCAGCCCAGGAATAGGCAGAGGCAACTGGTCCAACCCCCCTTGCTGATGATGAGTGGTTTATAGACTGCAGTCTGCCCCAGTGAACAGGGGCTAGATAATGACTGGCAGTAGCCACTGAGGCAAGGTGGGGATAGGAGGTTGGGGTTTCCCCTGGATGGGGAGACCCAGACAGTGGGTTACTGCAGGGGCAGAACCATAACATAGAAGTGAGACACCAGCCTACAGAGGGCACTCCGGGCTGGAACGAGCTAATTCCCAGGACCACCAGCAGGAGGCTTGCGCCGGTGAGTCATTGCCCCGCCACATGGTGACTGAATTACCTTGGTACCTCATAGATTTTGGGGCCTCTCAAGTATAGGAGCAGTCCTCAGTATATGCTACAAAGGAATTGACCAGATTAGTTGGAGGGGACTGAACTCCTGTTTTGACAATGCTGTTTTGAGTGTCACTCCAAAAGCTTAGTGAGATGCATTAATCCTTGGAGAGTTCACAAGTCTCCTCAGTTGTGTTTCCATTGTATTTGTTGAATAGAGTTCACAGGGTGAAGCAGGAGGCTCTGAAGGCCCATAGGTCCAGTGTGAAGTCATCCTGAGGCTACATGGCTTACCCTGGAGAAAGAGTGAGAACCTATGGGTTCTGGAAAACTGACATAGGTCCTCTTAGAAACTATTGCAATACTAGGTACAGGAGCACCACAGATTGGGTGGATCTATGACTTGGCGTACCTACATCACTTAACTTCAGGGTTTCTGGTGCAAGTGTCATGACTACTGACTCTAATTAATTTCTGCACCCCAAGTGTGCAGGATCTGGGCAAAGAAATCTTTTTGTGATGACTGCAACACAGAAGAGCCTTCTGAGACTGCTAGAGTTTGTCAAGCTTGTTTGTTAGACTGGAGGGAAGCTTCAATCATCAGCAAGGGAGAGACTGTGATCTGCCTTTGTGTGAATGTGCCAGTGAGTGGGATTAGCTGTGGCATGTCAGAGCGCTCCAGACCTTTGTGTGGCTTGTCCAAGGACTGTTGGTAACAGCAGTATCTGTCAGCAGGGACCTCTGCCCTTGGGACTTGAATTCTTCTCCTTTCCCTCCATTTCTTTCCCATTATCCCCCAACCCCAACAGTTCATCCTCTGACATCAACCTATCCAACCATGTTTCCCCAATCCAGTCTCTGCAGTCCATTGTTTTTGATTCTGCATACCCAGTGAATACTCAAGCAACTGAAGACTTCTCTGCCCCTCAGACCCCATTGCCATAATCCACCCTCTGAGCTTCACTCCATTAATCCATCCTCATATTATTTGTATTATCATAGTGCTCAAGACCCCCAATCATAGCCATGGACCCCAGTGCGCTAGGTGCTGTACAAACACAGAGCAAAAAACAGTCTCTTCCCCAAACAGCTGACAATCTAATTATGGGACAAAAGACAACTGATGGAGGTGGATGGGGAGTATGAGAAAAGAATTCTGTTCCCTTCTCATTGGCTGCCCTCCCACACCATGCTTCCACTCATATCTTTTCTGCCCAATCCATCAGCCTCAACAATATATGGTTTGACCGCCATCCATCTTCTGCTTTTCCTTCATATCCCATACCTGAACTCAGCCTGTTTTTTATACTCATCCTCCTGCCTTCAGCCCATCCTCTACTGCAGCGCCCCAGGCACTACATAAATACGTATTTCATTTTTTTCCTCCCTTTCTTCCCCTATAACTTACATGATCCTCTGCAGCCCCACTCCCCAGCAATCCCTGCTCTGCCCCCATATCCTCACCTATTCAGTTGATCTTTTGTACCTATCACCACACTAATTTATTGCTCCTTGCCATCACCACTCAATGTTGTCCCCACTTCTCCTATAACCTGCTTCTCTGGCTTTCTTCCTCTAGTTACAGGTCTGTCCTCAGTAGACTGTACGATGGACTTTGCTGGTCATCTCCCAGGTATAAGAAAAGAAACACTTGAGATTCCAATTAACCCTACCTCGCAACATGAACATTTTTTGTGGCAGGAAGCTCAAGAGTGCAAAAATCCTGAAGGGTAGACTTTTTTCTGTGTTAACACTCTCTGAAAACAAAAATAAAAATTTACAGAAATAGAAATTATATATATTTAGGTTGGCACAGCCTTGTTTTAATACAAGTTAAACAAAAGAATGTAAAATCACTTTGCATCTAAATAGCTTGATAAATTATCAAAATTGTACATCATAAGAAATCAAAGTCAGAAAAATCACACTTTATCATTACCATAAATTACTGTTCACCACAGACCAAGCATCACAACCTTAGTTCTACCTCCTAGGAATGCCAGACTTTCAGCCTTTACCCATCCTTCCATACAAATCCCTTTACCAAGCAATGTCCTTCCAACAGAACAAACTACTCAAAGAGAGTGAGAAAGAGTAACAAAAGTCTAGAAATTAATTATTAGCAATTCTTGGAACCTAACAATTGTTCTGCTATGCTACTGCATAGCCAGTAACAAATATTTATGTGTGAAGGGAAGATACACTTATTCGAAGAAATATGTTGTCCACTTCTCCTTTTGTGAGAACTTTTGTGTTTCAGTTAAAGTGTTGAAAATCAGTTCAGACTTACCCATTTCTTTCTTGCGTTCTGTTATGCTGGCTCCTATAAAAGAAAAAAAAATCTTCACATTTATCTGTGTTAATTATTCAGTCCCATATTCTGTACATGGGCAAAAGTTCTGTTGCCAGAGCCCTAGGTCCAAGACCATTATTCAGCTATTTCATTCTTCAGAACAGAGTTCATATATTGTATTCATTTAATCAACTAAAGATTGTTAAATTAGAAGATAAATTAACAAAAATAAAATAAAATACAAGATTTTTTATCAGTCTATATCATTTTAATAAATTTAACAATAAAATTCAGATATGAACTACATCCTATAGACCTTTATGCCTTAGAAAAGGATAAATAAATCTTGTTAGTTACTCCTTTTTCTCATAACTAATTTACTTGTCTAAAGTTCCACATGGAGTTCTAAAAAAAACCAAACCACCTTGTTAACTATAACAAACAATCTATCGAGGGTATACACCAAGTAATATAAAGTACAATAAAATTCAGTGCAGTGAAATTTTTGGAAATCAGTGCATAATTATCTATTTTCTTTTTTGTTGTGGTTTTTTTCCCTAAAAGAGAATTTTTTTTCAAAGTATACATGTTTTCAAATCATAACCAGTAGGCTTATTTAAGCAACAAAAATGCCAAGATATGGTAGGAAGATCCATTATTCTATACTCATGTTGATGTTATGATTTACTGTTTTAAATTATTGTTGTTTATTACAGAGATTACTAATATGTCATTAGATTCACCACACTAGTGACCTAAAAGGTAAGGTTGTTTAACACTTTCATAATAAATCCCTGTTTACACTACTGACACACACCTAATAAATAATACACAGCACCTAGTACAGTAGGGTCCTGTTCATGACTGTGGCACCTCTGTGCTACCATAATATGCCTGATAAATAATGTACAGTGCCTAGCTCAATGATATTCTTGTCCATGACAGGGGCTTCCAGGCACTACCATAAGACACCTAATAAATAATGTACAGTGCCTAGCACAATGGGATCTATGACAGAGTGCAGGAGGTGAACAGGCAAGCCAGTACTCTGACAACTCAGATGTTAATTAGTTCCCATTGAGAAAGCTGATGGAGGTTATTAGACAATTAGGTTGGTCAGCTGGGTGGGATAAGGAGCCAACTGTCCCATCAGCCCAAAGCTGATAAAGAGGCAGGATTTTCCTCCAAAGGAGAAGAGAGAGGGGGCCAGGGCTAGTTGAGCCCAGTTACATGGAGACCTCAAGGGAGGGAGACCTCTGCTCCCCCCAGGGCTTGGGGAGAGGGCCAGAATGCACTGTCAGTGCTGTAAATAGCATGGGGATTGTTGTGGAAATGGGAGGCAACTTCAATAAAAGGGTATGGTGAAGTCACAACTACGGGAGTCTGCTCAGTTTCTGCTCAGAGAAAGGTTGGAGAGAAGCCAGGCCCTGTGACAGGCTTTTATTCAATGACTGGGACACTTAGGCACTACTGTAACACCCTTAATACATAATATACAGCACCTTGCACAGTGGGGTCCTGGTTCAGGGATGGGGCTCCTCGGCAATACAATGATACAAATAATAACAAGCGTCACCCCGTCAAAAGTAATCAGGCATCTGTCTCTGCTCAGGATTCACAGCCATCAACCCTCTCATGGAGTTAGTCACCTGAGCTCAGTCAGCCCTTTCTCACAGAAAAAGCAAGGTTGTGTGGCCCAGGTTATCCAAATGTCTGCTGGTTGGTGCATTCACCCTGGAAGTCAAAGAATGAGGGTCACAAACCCACATTGCCTAATTTGGAGCAGGGACTTGCACTCAGGTTGGCCCCTTTCCCCACCGAGTGTCCTAAATACTGGCCAATAAGCTATTCTGGTGTGATTTATTTTTTCCAGTCTGTCCTGCCAAAGCTGTTCAATTGTTTATAAAATATGTAAAAATTCACGGAACTGAAATATACTTTTCTCCTCTCCCAGGACATGGCCCAAATACTGGGCTATAGAGTCAATTTCTCTTTCTTCCTTTCTCTGGCCTAAGTAAGTATTCCATTAGGTAATACAATATGGAACAGCTTCAACAGGACAGACTGATAAATCTGCACCTGCAATGCCTGATGGCCTTGTGGTTATGGCACTCAGCAGGGAAGTGAAAGACAGGGGGTCCAGTTCCTACTCTAAATTAGGCAGAGTGGGTGTTTAAACCTCACTCTCCCACATCCTGGGTGAGCGCTCAAACCACTGGGCTGTTGGCTATAAGAGGAGAAGCATCACCACCACCATGATACACACTGGGTCAGGACCCACAGAGGAATGCCAGATTTGTGGATCCCATCAGAATAAGGCAGTTTTATTCATGTCCACCAGAGGAAGTTTAGGGGGCCTAGAGAACTATACTGATGCAAATTTAGCTGCCAACTGAGTTAGGTGCCCAACTGCCACTTTAGGCACTCAAGTGCAACATTTAGATCTTCCAAATCCCTACTTAGCTGCCACCTCAGTCCCCCCAATTTTCTTTACTTTTTTTCTTGTAATCCATGCAAAAGAGAAAAAAAGACAGCAAATGAAAACACTAAAAATTTAGGAAATGCTACATTTAAGGTTGCCCATGCAACCTTAATTATGCCTTCTATTTCCTCTGCCTTCATGATTTAAGGTCTCATTATATGATCACATCATATTTTTTCCAGCCTCATTCTCAGAAAGGGATAGATATTTTTGCTGAAACTTTCCAAAATTAATATAACCCCAAAGAGAGACCAAGCACAGATTATTTCATCCCAAACAATTAAAGTTGGCTAAATTTTTAAGCAACTGAAAACAGAAGGGATTAGTAGAAAGTGTTAGTCAATTTTAAAGCTATCATTGCAAGCTATAGCTATAATTAAGATTAAGTAGTTACTTTGAAAAAATGTGTTGCGTAAAACATTTTCTCTTGCAATATAAGTAGATGTGAAGTTTTAAATCTACATTTAATGCAAGGCAGGGTGTAAGCTTTCAGCATCCTGTTTTCCTTAACTGTTAATGCAAAAAAACATACAAAGATGTGGGAGATTTAGGCTTGGATTTTCAAAGAAGCCTAAGGGAGTTAGGCACACACTTCCCATTGAAAGTCAGTGGGATTTGCGTACCCTACTTCCATATGTGTCTTTGAATATCTGCCATTTAAGCAGGCAGATTTTCAAAAATCTTTGTAACAGGCAAAAGAAACCCCTAGGGCAGGGATCGGCAACCTTTGGCATGCAACTCACCATGGTAAGCCCCCTGACAGGCCAGGCCAATCTGTTTACGTGCTGCATCCGGTTCGGCTGATCACGGCTCCCACTGGCCACGGTTTGCTGCTCCAGGCCAATGGGGGCTGCGGGCACATCTGTCGGGCCATGCCGCTTCCCACAGCCCCCATTTGCCTGGAGAGGCGGACCGAAGCCAATGGGAGCCGCGATTGGCTGAACGTGCAGATGTGGCAGGTAAACAAAGCAGCCTGGACCGCCAGGGTGCTTACCCTGGTGAGCCGCGTGCCAAAGGTTGCCGATCCCTGCCCTAGGACATTTCTGCATTTAAACAATAAAGCCAGCTATGCAGTAAATTCCCAGTTGATAAGGGCACAATCCAGGTGAAATGATGAAGTTCAGGGTTCACAGGATAAGTGACAAATCACCCAAGTGCAGCAATACTCTCACTGGGACAAAGTTTTTCTGATCTACAGTAGTAATGGAGGCCTTGCCTACTGGGGTGGGGACCAGGACAGGGAAGCCTATGAGCAGCACAACTAAAAAGAACCACAGATCATCACAGTCATTAAGGAAATGCCCCACTAGGGAATGAGCTTCTGTGCAAAGGCCCACAAAGCAGGAGCTGTGAGCTTCAGGTTGTGAATTGGGAGACTGCTGAGGGGGGATGTGATGAAGTGGGAATGTTTTTAATGTCTTCTCTGATTACAGTGTGTGTGCCTCAGTTTCCCCCTACACTCTGTAGCCTGACAACTGATGGCTGGGCCACCTCCTCTGCAAGAATCAGCCAGAGGTGTTGATGCAAACCAGGTGACCTGCTGGCCTGAGAAAGAGACAAAGGAACAAGGAGGGGGAACAGTTGTTTCTGGGGACAGAAAGCTGGAACCGGTCAGTCACCTGTTTGGGACTGAGGGAAGCTCAGGGCACTGGATACCCCCAAGAT